ACCGCAAGCAGCCACTGATTCGCCATTGTTGCAATTTGAGAGCTCGAAAATGAAATTAGCAGTGATACAGTAGAGCGGGCTTTGAGATTGTGGAGCGGAAGCGTAAAATATCAGGAATCGATGAGCCGAAGCTCTGATACCATGATAACCATGGTGGAAATAAAGTATTTTAGATCTAGGTTTAGAGAGAGAAATGAATGAAAGCTAAAGCTCTGTATATTTCTCAGAAGTGTTTTCTTACATGATAATGAAATGAACTAATCACAAGCTTATATAGCTGTGTAACAATGACTCCTTCACTAATATGAGCTTAACAGAATAACTAATTAGACTAACGAGAGTAACTAATCAGATTAACAAACATGTGAAGAGCTAACAGACTTGCCACCTCAGCAAGTACACGTGTCAGCACATCATACTGTTATCAATCATTAGTAAGAAAAAATAAAATAAACCTAAACACACATAATTAATTTATAAGGTTAACACAAAGAAAATCGAATATACATAATTGTATTTACATCTTCTCAATTGGAATAAAAAATCACATTTACATCATCCAAATATAAAAAGAACGTAAAAGTGGCTTTACACCTTGGATTTTACACCTCCCATTGTGAATGCTCTAACAAATTGTAAGTGAACTTTGAATGTATCAATAAAATAGTATCAAGTGAGCTTTGAACTCCATCTTTAAAAAAAGTTGTAATTATGTTTCATTCCTATTGTTTAGTCAGATTTGTCAAATATAAAAATTAAAATTAAATATTAAAAGACGTACCGTATTCCTTAATTATCTCTTATGAGGGTAGTTGCTCTTCAAGTCCTTTGGTTATAAAACACTGGAGTTTTCACGTCTAGGCGTGTCCTTCAAACGCAATATACCTCTTTCCTTCTTTCTTTATTATTATTATTATAATATTTTTTTTCTGGTTTAGATTTTGAAATTTGAGAAGTAAGAAAGCAAAACTAAAAGAAGGATAATTAGTATGAATATGAAATAAGAAAGCCCCACTCTCTATAGGGAGTGGGGGGCAGTGCTTTTGCAATGACAAGACCAAAAGACCAAATGGAAGAATTTTACCAATTGAGACCGACCGTGAAGCAACAGCCCCTTATTATTTCATTTTAAGCATCGTTCCAAGCGTACTGTCAGATATTTTTTTAACCAAACACCTTTTATTCAATTTTAGGCATCATCTTAAGGTATTTAAAAGTTGACAGATAATGCAAAACGGAATTTAGTTGAATAAAAAAGGGTCTTAATTTACATACTAGTGATTTTATGTTTGAATCGAATCACCATAGTATCTTAGTAGTGTGTGTGAAACTCTCCTCTCTTTGTAGTTTAGACCATTACTTGTACTAAAAAAAATCTCCCCCTTTTTTACTCGAGTGTTATCAATAAACTCTTGGTATATAACACATTTATATGTTTATTAATAGTTTGTAGTAGGATTATGAAATATGAACTTGAACCCCACTTATATTATATTACATGAACTCTATGTGTTTGTGACACAACTTAAGACCCAAACTTTAAAGAGATTTAATTGTGCAAAAGGTTATTGTTAGAAAATGAAATGTTTAATATTAATAATAATATTTATATTTTTTTCAATTTAAATGGAATTCGGATGTGTGATTCTGGTTTAAAATGAGACCCATTTGCGTTTAATTGAACAAGTGAAAACCTAAAAGACAATACACATTTCAGTTATTGCCGTGCCGTATTAATTAAATATGACTTACAAAGTGATTGATTGAATTGAATGCACAGTCAATTTGTTCTAGTCTCGAAGTTTTCTGAGAATTCATATTCTTAAAAGTTTTTAAATATATATGTACTGTTTTACGTTTACAATGCTATTTTAATAATTATTTGTATTAGTAAATATATATACACATTTGAATAACTATAAATTATATTATTTGTTTTTCTCTAAATCCTTAGATATTTCTTGTGTATTAAAAAGCTAAAGAAAATCTGTTTTTATCTTTATAAGCAAGTTAACTTGGACAAAAGGATTGACTTGGTAATTTTTATTATTATTATTATTATTATATATATATATATATATACATATACATATGAGTTTAATCATCTTAAGATGGAGTGGACGTGTGGATTAGGCACATGCATATTTCATTCTTGTCACCAATATATGTGTCATTGTTTTAAAGCTTAGAGCTTGTGTGTGTTTGACAGCTCCTGTAAGAAGTTAGATTTTATCTTCCTATATTCGTATTTATCCTTATTCATTAAGCTTATCCATATATATTCTTACTTCATGCCCAAGTTTTGTAAAAGTATAAATAAGGCCTCTCCCCTATTTTGTCAATAACAAAAATGAGAACCAGAGAAATGAAGTAAAATACCACAGAGAGAGAGAGAGAGAGAGAGAGAGAGGGCTTAGCTTGTATTTTCTTAAATTGGAGCAATGCTTTGGAATCGAGGTAGGATTTCTTGGGAGACTTTACATAAGATTGATTTAATTAAATTTCGTGAGCTCTATATTATGTGTGATATTGTATAATGTTCTTGATATGAGATATTTATGCATTGTGAACTATTTGAATAATGTTGGCATAATTATATCATGTCATGGTAACTGGTTGGAGTTGTTGGGTGGAGAAGATAATAATGGAAAAGAGGGTAATGGAAATAGTCTTTTGTGTAGTTAAGTCTAACTCTTGGCAGGTACCAGGTCTCAGGGATCCTACTGTGCACATGGTTTTTATTGGGTGATTCGGGACCGGCGAAAGGGAGTTAGACAAGATGACTAACAAAAGGGGAATTGTGGGATGATTGAAATGAGTGTTAGTTCATATAAATACGCATTCAGGACCAAGTGGTATAAGCATGGTATGGGACATGCAAGTCTGCTTGTCCAGTTATATGAATTAACGGGAGTAGATGAAGAGCATTCATGCATTATTATTATTAATGTGATAATAATGGGAATTGTGAGATGATTGAAATGGGTGTTAGTTCATATAAATACGCATTCGGGACCAAGTGGTATAAGCATAGTATGGGACGTGCAAGTCTGCTTGTCCAGTTATATGAATTAACGGGAGTAGATGAAGAGCATTCATGCATTATTATTATTAATGTGATATTTGGTTGTGTGATTGCATGTCACTTAATTTAGTTATATCAATCTACTGTAATAAGGTCTCATGTCCCTACTGAGCTGTGGTTGCTCACCCCTCACCATGTTTAATTTTTCAGATGAATTAGTGGGCAAGAAAAGGAATAAACCAATTGAA